TCTGTCAAATTCCCATAATGTCCCTATAAGTCCAGTTCCTTAAAAGTGTATGAGGTAACATGAAACAATCTGCAGCCCTCTCTCTCCTCTCCCTCTTCAACCAGAGACCGTGTTCCACGCGATGCCGCTTGGCCTTGGTGCTGTAACACACTGCCACGCCTGCGCCTGCCGCCCTGGCCCACGTCCTACATCTCATCTACGGGGCAGGACATGCAGAACTATTAGCACTTTCACAAATCCCAAAAGGAACGAAGGTACCCCATGTCACCAAATCAAAACTGAGTTGGTTCCTTTAACCAGAGATGTGATTCCAGACACAAAGGCAGTGACAAAGTATTCACCCTGCTGTCCACAGTAGTAAAGGATCTTTTTTGTCTTATTCTGCTTTTCCACTGAATGATAACATTAATTAAGCCAAAGATGTGTTATAAAGAAACAAATGAAGAGATGGATTAGAAGTGGGGTTTCGGAAATGTTATCTTTGTCAGCTGGGCTGCATTTTAACCAACTTAATTTTTTGGTATGCCAAAAAATTAAGCAACTTTATGTGCCAAGGCGGCTTCATATTAGCCTGCTGTTTCCCAAGAGGCACATCCTGGCTCTACTTCCTTTGTCCAAATCACAGGAGAATAAGAAAGGCTTCTGTTCTTAGACTGCCATTTTAGCTATATTTCTTTGCTTTTCTTCCCTCTACCTAAAGCAGATCCTCATCTTTCAAACCTTCCCCAATAGCTCCAGCTAACACTGACCTCCCCCCTTCTCAACCAGCCACAGCCTTGATAGTCTGTTTCATAAACTAGTCACTCCATATATTCATTTTTATAATCAGTACTGTTCAGTTTCAACACCCTCTCTTCAAAACCCCCTTCAAAGCTTTCACTTGCCTGAAATGGATAGAAAACTACTCTTAAGAACTACACTTCATGGGTACACATGGGTACAAAGACTGACATTAAGTAAAAACAGAATTCTTTTTTTTAATCACTGTGATGCAAATAATCACACGCTATCGATGGGCAGATAAAAACTGCTACTGTATACTAATTTATTTCTGGGGATTTTTCTGTTACTTTTTCTCCTTTCTCCTTTCATTTTGGAGTGGGGTGATAACAAGATAGACAATGATCAAAATGCAATGTGGCTTGAAGACGTACCCTGAGTCATGTAACGCTTACCCTGCCTGAGCCATGTTTCCTCCCCTAAAACATGGATCATTTAGGAACCTGGATTCAGTAATGCAGTCCAAAGCTTGAAAAAACAAGAAGACAACCAAGTAAAAAATGAGAAACAGATTGAATTCTCTGCAGTCCATGGGAATAGTATAGTGTCCGCAGAGGGTTTGGTATTCTTTGCGCGAGTTCCCTAGGTTGGGCAGATCCTTGCTGTCCACTTCCCTTTCTCTCCAGCAGCAGAAGCTGCAGGTGGATGAAGGAGAAAAATAAAGGACACGGCTTCCAGAACGGTCACATGTCCACAGCTGCATACAAAAGCAACTTGGGACACATGCTTTCTCTCCCTGGTGTCTAGATTATCTTGATAAGTGTCCTTTCACAATTGGAAAAAGAAAATCTAATATCTCTGAGAAGATAAGTAACAGAGATGTCCACAAGCACTGTAAGGGAATCTTAAACCTGGCACTTTCAGTAAATTTGGCTTTACTCTGAAGGCTGACTTGTATCCCCAGAGGAAGATAAATATTGTTATCTTTGCTTCCTGTTATACACAAGAGTCTTGTTTAAAGCCATAGTGCACACTAGGAAGATTCTCCAGAGGATGGCCAGAAGCCACTACTCTGAGGAACACAATCATATTTCACTGGGGTGGGGCCGGGATCGTCACTTAACAGAGGTAAGGGCACCCTGCACGTGCTTCTGGATAAGATCATGCTTTTGGAAACTGGGGGTGACTCCCAGCTCTGCCATCTGCTAATAACTGTGATGCCTGGTTAAGTTACTTAACCTTGCTAAGCTTCAGTGTCCTGTCTAAGAAAATGGAGGCTGTTCTCAGTGTTAAACGAAATAAGGTATGTCCAAGTGCTTAGCAAGTACCTGGCACAGAGTAAGTACTTGATGAATGATCGCAATTATGTCTTCAGTACCACAACACTTAAGTCCGTGCCCAGATTTCTCCTCTGTGTTTTCTTAAATGCAGAATACATTCACAACCCACAGACAGGAGTGAATCCAGCCTACTGGCAATGCCATCCACAAAGCGTCTCTGTCTCTGCCTCCCCCTCTTTCCCTCTCTCTCTTAATATCTATCTATCTATCTATCTATCTATCTATCTGTCTGTCTGTCTGTCTGTCTGTCTATCTATCTATCCATCTATCATCTATCAATCATCTTATAACCTTCTAAGGGAATCTATTACATTCTTTTAGAGAGTGGTTTGGGCTGGAAAATCTTAATCTTTAATCCTTATCTCTGTGTCACTTCCCATCCCCCAGTCCTCCCCCTGGATACTTAGAACTCCTTATAAACTTCACAGGATCGCGATGCATTGAGATCTGTAGGAGGTGTTGAAGGAAAAGGGGGGACTGGGATGCTAAAAATCAGGGCAACAAAAATACCTATGATGTCATTTACCCTGACTTCTGAACCACCGGCAGCAGCCTTTCAACTTGTTTGGTGTGATACCTCACCTCTCCCAGTCTGAGTTGTCACTCACCCCCAAATGTAGGCCTCAGAGGGTCCCCCGCTACAGCAATTCCCACTCCTTCCCCACTTCCCCACAGTCCTATCTCTCCTCCTTCTCTGACTTTTAGTGTAGCCAATTAAACCTGAACAACGGGTAGATGGAGGAAATATGCTGCATCTATGGAATGGTACAGCAGGGACCAATTTCACTGTTAATTTAAAATGCTAGAATTAATTAGGTAGTGTAAATGAAGAATTTAATAAGCACTCTTTACAACCACAAGTTCTACTTTTATTAAACACTGCTACCAAATGAGGGCAAATATCTCTGGTCTCTTTATATTTCCTTGCCTCATTCCCATAAGTTCTCTGCAAATAAAATTCTTTTTTTTTTTGCCTGAAATAAAAAAAATGCACAATTATAAATTTACGCCTGAATTATATTTCTGCTTTCAACTCATAAGCTTCTTCTTTAAGCTCAGATGCTATTGTACGTCTCTGCTTGTGCTGGAGAGGGTGCTAAACAAACCAAAGTTGACAATTTTGGTTTTGTATACCAAATTAAAGGCTGTCTTAGAAGCTGTCACTCCTATTCAAATCCACTCTACCAAATTAGCATTCTTTCAGTAAAGGAATCTGCTTGTTTAAACATGTGTCTTTAGAAAACAAGGAACAACACCATGAATCAGTACTTCTCAAAAATCTCACTACGGTTCTAAGGGAACTCTTTTGAAAAGGTGATTAATAATATTCACTAATACAGCTGGCAGAGTTTCTATTTAGAAGGTAAAGCTACACCAAAAATACATTTTTTATACAGGAGTGGGAGGAAGAATCATATGCTTAACTGGTTTTAATTTGGTTTGAATTATCATCCTATTATATAAAGATTATTCCAGAATCTAAACATTGGCTTTGTGAAAGCACAGGCAACTCTGTTAAAGAATGGATGATCCAGTGCTCTGGGGTAAGATCATCAAAGCCCTGGCCCTATATAGAGACCTTGATAAAATTTCTCTGCTCTAGCCACTCTCCTTGAAACATGCTAACTGTATCTATAATAAGAACATCTCCCCTTCCTAAGAGACTGCTATGCAATAGGCATTGTGCTATGCAGTATATATCCAGCCTCTCATTTAATCCTCACAATAAGCCCTTTGAGATAACTATTATTTTCCAATTTTACAGATGAGAAAATTATGTGTGGAGGGTTATGTGACATATTTTCAAGTTATTTTAGTTTAATGGTTTTGCAAAGTACTGAATTTATATGGGGGATAGATTTACAAGTGAATTGGAATAATTGAAAAAATATATATGTATGTATCTATATGGATACATATATATTGGATTCTCTGATTTAAAATCAAGATGATGCATTTTCCTATTTTAATTATAGAGCTTCCTTTTTATTATATAGGCTAGTTGCTCATTATGTACACTCTCCAGAGAAAGGGAAATAAAAGTCAACACTCAGAAATAACAAACACTTAAAGGTGAGTGTGCATGATTTTAGGAGTGGAGCCCCAGACAGCAGCCATTTTACCACTGTTGTGATGTAACCCAATATATTTCTAAGAAAATATTCCCCCTTCCAAAAAGGTCACAGGAAAACTTCCCCAAAGAATTACAGTGTCATTAGGTCCTCAAATGAATGCCTGTGGATAGAAAAAAAAATCAGAACCTACAAATCTCAAATATTGAAGTTGTATAGGGTATTGTTTCACTTTCAAGTAAAAAGTCTCTGACTTCGCAGAGTATCTTCAAAATAAACAAATAAAATAAAATACCTCAAGAGAAGATCTTCATCGAGCATCTCCCTCCTACTTCAGAGTAGCTTCATTCCAGAATAATCTGCTATTTTAGGACCTATTTCTCCCCAGGGACCGTGGGCAGTTGTGACCTCCTTCCACAAGCCCACCCCTTTAAAACACTCCCTCACACACAGAAGGACATTGGACACACACAGACCAAATGTCTGAGAGGAAAGGAATAAGTGGATAAAAAGTAGCGTGGAGTATAGGGAGGGCAGAGGGCAGAACTGAGAACTAAAGAACAAAGGGAAGGGGTGACTGATTAAGAATAAAAGGGATAAAACCAAAGGATTATTTCACAGAAAGCAAAGCTGAGGAAGTTCCAAATTCTTCCTTTTCTTTCCAGTCGCACCGATCCCCGGTATGGTTTGCGGTAGTGCACACACACATGAATTTATGACCGTGTGCCCACCCCACCCGTGCGGGCAGGATCCACACAGCAGGCACTCAGATGCATCACCATGCATGTGCATTTCTGCTAAGATCTGCACATTTAATGGAACAACATAGCTGCAAATTCTAAACCTAGGATACTGAAGAAGAGCATACCTGTAATTTTGTCTCTCACAAGTTTGCAGGATTCTATTTCACCAATGCTCCCAAAGAGACTCCTGAATTCCTCTTGGGTCATATTCTGGGGTAAATAGTTGACTATGAGGTTGGTTTTGCTGTCATCTGTGGCCGCCCCTGTCTGCATGGGAGAAGGACAGTTTCTATTGTTGCTGGAGGGTCCATTGCTTGTATTGGATGTTGGGCCATTTGACACCTGAGGCTCCATGGTGCTAATTATCTAAACAAAAATAAAAGTAATAAAAATAAGCCTTTTGAAATCTCAAAGACACAATTAAACTCTTTTTCAAGACTTAATTTAATTTTTTGAAAAGAAAGAAAACAAGACAAAGCAAGGTGGAGCAAAAGAGACTGGGTTGTGCACATAGCCAATTTAGAAGCAGGTTTAAACCAAAATGTTAAATTCCCCTTGCTATTTTTAGGCCAGCCCATAGATTTTGAACACAGACTAGAATGCAGTGGGAACTCTCCCATTATTTTGTTAATGAAAAGCTAATTCCTGTTTTCATTACACAATCACTCTCAGAAATGTATACTTAAGCCACACCAAATTATAATTAAAATGTAAAGTAATAATCATGATTAAAATTATAGTTCCATTAAAGCTGAAAAAGTTAAATATAGAGGGCTATGCTCACAAGATCAAATACAGTACCTGTTTATTAACTATCTCCTAAAGTAAAATGACATTAAAATAAGTAGGGCTGTTGCATATGGGAATAGTTCAGATTTTTACTGATGCTTAATCACTGATCGAACTTCAGGTTTCATAGGCACATGCTGGGAAGCTACAAAGTCATCTGCTGATATTTTGACCCAGCCACACTGTTGTTACTATTTCTCCTGGATGTTTATTAAAATAAAACACAAGAAGGAAGAGCTCTCTCTTGGTTCCCACCTTACATCCAGCACATCCCAAGGCTGTCCTTTCACATGGTACTCAAAAAGGACTTTCTCTGGATTTAAATAGTTAATTAAACAAAGATTTCTACAAATGCCCGAACTGTTCCAGGCAGACTGCATGGGAATAAAGAAATGAATAAATCTTAGTCTCTACCTGCAAGGAATTTCCTGTCTTCACATCAGAGGACGTGAACAGGAAAATGGCTTGCAGAAGGACAACAGACAGGTAGCAGAAGAATAATTAACCTTGCTAATAGCATAGAGGGATTCAGGGAAAAGTACTGAGAAGATGATACTAGGATGAGGTTTTCGTGGAAAATGGGTTTAAACTCATGGAGCTTGGTCATGAAGGTGCCCCGTATGGTATGACAAACATGAAGAATCACAAAATTTCAGAGCTAGAAGACACTTAAGGGAATAAAATCTAGTTCAAAACACTCAAGTTTGAGATGAATTCCAGCGACTTCTTTGTCATAATGGGAAAGTGGGGCAGAGTCTGGGCCTGCACCCAACTCTCCTGGCCTCAAATGCAGCCCATCAGTCCCACTTTTCCATCCTGTCCTACTATCATCTCTTATTCATCCTTCAGAGGGCTCCACCTTCTCTGAAATTGACCATCAGCTCCTTGGAGATGGAACCATGCTCTGCCACACTAGCTATGTGACCTTGGGGAAGACTGTAGGAGACTTAGTTTTTCTCACTTGAAAATACAGGAACAATGCCGCCTGCCTTGCTAGGCGGTAAGAAGGATCTGGTGATGCGATGTACAGAAAATGCCTGAATAGTGGAGGGAACATAACCACAATCACTGATATTAAAGTCACTTTGCCAAGCATCTGATGTGACTTCTCTCACTTACTCCTCACAAGAAGGCAATGAGGCCTACTTTAATTGTCTCTACATTTTATAGACGAGAAAACCATGGTTTAGCAGAGGTCTGATAACTAGCAGCTTCCATTATTATTACCATTTGGCTGCTCAGAGAATTTTGGGGAATAAATATTCTGAGGTAATATACATATGGTAGAGTAAACAGATATTGAGGGTACAACTCAAAGAATGTTTATGAAATGAACACAACTAACACCTTTTGGATCACTATAGTAACTTCAGTCACATCACAAGAACTTTCTTCTTGGCTTCAGGTCAACTATGGGATTCTGGAAATCTGGTCAAGACAGCAAATAGAAATCAAAGGGCTTCTGGAAAGAATCTTAAATTACGCACTCTGCACTGATAGAAACTGCATCCAGCAAAACCTATTCAGTGGCTCTGCCCTTGAGGCAAGGGCCCAGGAAAAATGAGGGAGCTGTGTCCAGGGGCGGGGTGGGGGCTACGTTAATGGAGATGATGTAGAGCATCATCACGACTCCTGGCCGGGCACAGGGTGCCTGCTTTGCCGAGCTGCCCAGCCCCCTGGGTCTGTGCAGTGCCTCCATTTGCTGTGTCGTCTCACTGCTTCAGTGAGTCAGGTGTCCAGGCAACAAACACACGGAGCACTGCCAACTCGAGAAGGAACTTGAAAAACAGAGTTTATCTAATTTAGGAGGCTTGGCTAGCAGAACCACAGAGCTGGCCAACTACTACATTTTGATATAATGGCAAAAAAGGCCAGTCTCATAATCTACAGAACACCTTCCCTGCTCTCCACTTTTCTCAAGTTACCCTTCTTACAGCTCTCCCACAGACACCTAGAAAATATCCTGCAATTTTGTGGCATCTTTTGGGGTGTTAAAATGGCATATGAAGAATAATATAAGTCATACCTAAGCACGATGAGATTCTGTAGGACTAAGACTCTTAAAGGTCACCTGACAGCCGGTTCACCTTTTGTTCACTGGATGGATGCTCGCCTCACAGACACACGTAGTGAAAGCCAGCCACTTGTCCATGTGAAAATCTCATAGGTCTCTCTGCTCCAGAAAGCTCTAGGACGTATCAAGTCTGCAGCAAAGTAATTTCAGTTCCTCAATCAACTTTCGGGATCTCCTTACATCCTATGTGAATTTCCAATATATGTTGACTCATAGAGCTGAGCCCCATCTTAGATCAGACAATCCTAATTGAGCTCAGACCTTCAAAAAGGAGCCATGAGATGCAATGTTTGTACTGAGCTACTGTACATTAGGCCAAGCCATTCTCGTCTGATGGAGATGGAGCTCACTTTGCTCTGCACACACGCTACACAGTTATCTTTTTGTGTATTCAGAAAGAACTGATGAAAATAGACACATGCACACATAGACTTTTCTCAATAAAAACATACAGTTCTAAAGTTGAGAAACATTTGCAAATGTATTAATATACCTCATGTAAAAAGACCCCTCATGGGTCTTAATGATGCATCCCAGGATGCAAGAAATGTAAAACGTCAGAATCAAATCTGACACATAAGTCAACTAAGAGGATTTTAAACCATTTCTTGGAAAATAAGAGAAATTACCCAGATATAAAGATAACAAACCCAACAATATGAAACGACAGCATTTTAAATTTTCATGATAGATCTTACAGAGTGAACACCTGTAATCTATACTTGGGAAACAAACCAGAGGTAAACGTCTATTAGTGGTAAACATATCCTCCAATCAGCACAGAGATTCTGCAAAATCAGAACACTCGCTTCCCCAGTCTATGACCTTTGATATTCTAACAACACTGTTTTTTATTGCAAGTAAATACATCAGCTATTCAAGAGTGCAAATGTATTTTAAAACATTTTGTGTGGGTCTCACAGCCAACTTTGTAGCTGACCAGGTTCCAAGCCCCTGACTTGCTCTCTTTCCCTCCTCTGAATTGCAATTAAGAACAGAATTAGAGTCAGCATCCAGGATAGAGCATTGAGGAGGTTCAGTTGACTTCAAACTCTAATGGTTGCACAAAGCACTACATTAAATCTTTTATGTTCCCATGATATATTTTAAGAAACATTATACAGGCAGAAAATTTCAGGGATAAACTATTAGAGCAGTGCACAATAATGGAGGCACTCAAATCCTGTCATTGTAAATGTCAATGGTTTGAATGACTAATTACTCACACTCAACACATTAACCTCACCCCTCCCACCACTCTTTTCTGTAAAATATACAACAAAAGCAAGGGAGAAGGCCTCAGACTCGCAGCTGCTGGATCATCACTCGGGGTCATTTATCTCTGTGGAGGAGAGGTAAGAAGCAGGGGCTGAGTCAGCCTCTTTCTCAGGGTGCTCCTGAAAATAAAAACCCAGCCTTCTCTGTCCTTTGTTGACATCTCTCTTGCCACAATCTCGGGACCATCCTCAATGGTCCTAATGACCTGTTTAATCACATCTTTTGCTATTACCCACTCAAGGTATCTGTTATACTACTTTCTGGACATTCCAGGTCATATGCACATAAGAAAGGTTTATTTCCACTATAGTTTGATCTGCATATGTTAGATGAACAGAGATGGAGCCCAGTGTGCTAGGCACTGTGCTAGGCCCTGGGTATACAGAGATAACAAAGACAAGGAGCTGGCCCTCACTGAGTTCACGGTGTGGATACATGAAAGAACATCAGGGACCACGGGGCCCATCCGCATAATGTTAATGATGAAGAAACTGAGGACAAGAAAGGGGAAATGACTTGCCCAAGGTCACACTGTAAGTTAGAGGCAGAGGTGTGACTTGAGCCCAGGTCTACAGGCTACCTTACTTTAGTGCTCTTGTGACCATGCAGACATGGATAAAGCTTTACTTATTTTTTTAGGGAGGAGGTGAGGGGCGGCCATATCACAGAAATGCATCTGAACAGAAGATTGGAGACATGTCTACCTCCACACTTTTCTGAGTATTGCACTTTACAGTTCACAAAGAATGATGACCTGAACCCTGAGCTCCATAGCCAGAGACCACATCTGTTTTGTTTATTACAGTACTTCTTGCATGTAGAATAAGACCTGACAAATAGTAGGTTCTGGGTAAAGGACTATTGAATGAATGAAACTTCTTGCATGCCCAGGAGTTCACTAGATCCCTCAAACAACCTTGTGAAATATAAGCTAACAAGGTCATCCCATTTTACATATAACAAAAGAAGACAGAACAGTTATTCACTACCTATTATATGCTGGGCATACATTTGGATATTATTTCAAACGCAGATTATAAAAGGCATTAATTCAAGCAGGCAGGTTGAAACTTTGGCTGACATTGACCCTCTTAGACCCTCTGTTGAATGTCTTTGCCCTTTTTCACCATAAAAAATGTGCATGCATGCAACATTTTATATACAGTAAAGCCTATCCTTTGTCTTCAGATCAAAATCCCCAAATTGATTTTTCCCACCCAAGCCT